GCTGTCATAATTTTCTGTTTCAGGTACAGATTCTTGATTCTTCAATTCTTGGAAGTTTTCATTCCCTTTCCACTCAACGCCCATGTATAACTTGGTAATTTTAGCCCAGAATTCAATATTTTGCACAGATTAAATAATAGTTCCTTTAAACACCTTTCTCATAGCCCTGCCAATTTCTTGTGTACTGAACTGTCCTCTATATGTGTCTATTATTCCCTTTGATTAAGATATTCAAATTTTATACTTATTTTAGATTACATCATAAATGTCTAGAATATTGCAAATGATGCTGTTAAATCTATAAGCAAACTATGAAGTATTCAATCATAAAATATACAAATTATGTGCCAAATTGTCTTGTACATATGGGTTTAAAAGGGATTTTACTTGTATTGCATAGAGGGAAAAGACCTTGAGTAGTTCATATGTTGCCAAAGATACTTTCATCAAAGACTCATACATATATAATTTTATATCATTATGCTATGATTTGAAATTCATTATATTTTTGTTATTTCTGTTAATGAATTACACAAAATATAAAACCTGAAGGCATAGCAAATGAGATTAACTACTGATACTGATAATAATGGAAACACATAAAGGTGTGCTGGAGAATATTTGTTGTTATAATAACTGATAGTATGAAGAAATTATATCCACAGAATCTGTATATACACTATATATGTATATAATTCTTGGTGTATATGTTAGTTTGCAAGAAGAAAATAATACAGTGTACACTTATCTTGGTAGAAACAGAACCAATTACTTGATAATGTTTCATTGTTAAAGGCAACATTTTAGATTTTCAACTAATATAAAAATTCACTATTTATATGAATATATCAAAACAACATTGTCATTTTCATAAGATAAGTCTTAATATTTAAGACAATGACTGCATTATAACCTATTTGTTAACATGCATCTCAAGAAATGTTTCTTAATTTTGGAATAATTTAAAACCATTGAGCTTATACTCTATGCAAAAGTGTTATATTACTTTCTTTGCAGGAAGTTTTTAAAACTGACTTCATCATAAATTTAATTGGTGATATATTAATAGTCAGGAAATTGATGTACTATATTAATACATGTGAATTAAGGAAATGCCTATAATTCTTAAATTTCAGCTCTTTAGTGTGAATAATTATAAAATCATATCATTTTGGGTAAATAAAGGCTGCTTTATCAATCACTATAAAATGCTAGTTAGTAGCAGCATTTTATATTAAGTAGTTTTCTATTTAGAAAATAAAGAAAAAAGTTTATAGAAGACAATTTAATTATTTCATTGTTAGATGTAAATTTGTTTTCTTATTTGCTAATTCAGTTGGTAAGACTTATCTGAAATTTCAAATGAAAACACAAAGTTTACTTAATACATGATTTCATATTTTAAGAATACATCTATTTTATTAATTTCATATTGTGATCCAATTAACTTGGATTGAAATTTACTCACCTGTTTAGTTGTGTCAACATTGTGCTGATTATACATAATTTGAATATTGAACATATAAAGGATTTTTGCTCATGCAGTCAAATAATTATATTAATTTTAGAGATAAATAGTCTGCCCTTCACAATGTTGTGTTTATTTGTGCACATGAAAGAAAGAATATGGTATCACACTCTTGAAGGTGTTTTGCCTCAATATAGACTTGAAAATATATTTTTATTTAATAAAGATTATTGAGTTCATGTATACACTTCAACAAAATAATAAAACAAGAGCTATCAATTGGACAAGCAAACTTTACTATTTTCAGTACTTGATAGTATAGTAACAACCTGTATAATGATGAAATTAACAAAGAAGAATATTCTATACAATTAAAAAAATAGATAAAGGAGCATAATTCTGTCACAATGCTTGTTACCTCCTCCATGTGTACAGGTTTTGGGCTTGATGGTGAACAAGTCTGCATAGTTTCAAACCCATGTGTCAATGGACTCTGCAAAAGTTCAATATCATATGTCAGTGGACTTGAGGTGGTACAAAAACTTCAACATGTCAGTGGTTAATATGCCAATGCTCAGGAGGTAAGGATAGCTCTCCTTATTCTTTGAATAGTGGAGCTAAAAAGTAAGCATTCATATCACTGCTACAACTTGAACCCAGAAAATTAAATTAAGAGTTAAAGCAAGCATTTCCATTAGAGTACCAGTCCATATTTGCTGAATCTTGGCAAACCCGTACAGGAACAACATGGTTCCCATATGAAATACAACTTAAGAACCCATATAGATTCATATTCAACCTTGTGCGGGCAATAATCTCAGACATGTATGACATTTTCATATTTATTACCCACCAAGGTCCTACATGGAATATTTAGGATGCGGCAAGTTGGTGACATTGGATAATCACAACATTTCTATAAATTATAATTCTTTATATACCAGCTGCTGTCAATTTATGAAATTTATCTTATTTTTTTATAAGAGTTCCTTTTTCATTGCCAAGTTAGGTCTTTGTTTCAATCCCCATGCATAGTTTGGTTGAAAAATTATTCAATAAGAGCTATAATCAATATGAATATTAATTTAAAAAAATCTATTTCTCCTGCTTTTTCAATAATTTTATAATTCTGATTATTATTCCTGTCACAACAGATGACAATAGAGCCCTGTTTAGCTTCTTCATGTTACTATAAATATGCCTCCAAGTCAGTCTTCATTCCTGCTAAGTATCATTTAAGGGACTCAACTGGTGTTTTTGAATAGACAGGACTTGAAATTTTTTTCGGCATTTATGTTCCATTTGATTTTTAAGGTTGTGGAAAATTTCGGATCATTCATAGTTATTTTATGAAAGATAATAAAAAAAAATGAAAAGGGTTGAAACACTTTACACACAAAATGGGCTACGAATAGCAAAACGATTTTCAATTTTTTCTGAGTATATTCCAGAATTATCCATTGTATATCTTTCTTTTTTAGTGCCAAACTTGATCTGTGTAATAAAGTAGCATGTTATGTTTTATTGCTTTTTGGACCTCAGTGGAGTTCCTTTAATATGTAAATATATACCTAGATCGGTAATTTAATGACTGTTATATCAAGTTGTTGTAATAAAGTTACCATTTTTCCAAGTCCATCGTTACAGTTTATATGAATACAGCCTCTTTTGCTAAAAAATATCGTCTTTATGGCAATTCAAAATTAGCGCCACTTTATGTCACCAGGCAAACAGTAGCGGTGCCCGGTTTCCAAGCAGCTGTCTATACGATTCGCGGGTACCAGATTCGGTGCGGTACGTGTACGGTAAATTATTCACCACTTCCGTTGCGGATAAAAATGGCGACTGAGCTACCTTGTGTTTTTTTAGTAATATCGGAAAAATGTCGAATTTAGAATCGAGACATCTACGTTCAAAAATCGTTACATTCAATCAAATTTGAGTCCTACAAACCCTTCAAAAGGCTTTTTATCCCGAAACCAAGTGCCTATGCTCGTGGCATGAATACTTTATGCATTAATATCATAACGAGAAAAGAAGACCAAAGGTCATTCAATAGCTAGAATTTTGATTTTAATTGTCTTGATGAAGGTCATAAAGTTACCGAAACAAGTAGACAATATTGTAATTTTCCCTGGTGATGACGTGTATAACTCTTCATTTTGAACTTGCATTGGTTGATTTACCTAACTTTGTTATAATATATGAAAGGATTGTTTGACATAATACGGCTATCGTTTATTTCATAGGTCGGTCCCAAAAGATTCATGTTTAAAAAAAGGTGATATCTTCTGGTATTTTGCACATTTGTCTTTTAGTTGTGAACTTGAAAAGAGGTTGAACTAGATCTACAATGTACATGTATGTAGATGTTTTATAATTGTATAAATACTGATATTTATAACTAAGCACGGTATTATGTATAAATGTTCTCGAAAGTTCATTTATTCGCTGTAAAAACTGAACCCGAAACAAATGCACATGACAATATTGAACAAATCGAAGAACCAATTTATTAACGTAAGATTTTTTTTGTCACCGTCTATTAAACATTTAAATAAAGACATGTGTTAAATTCAATTCACGGAGCTTCGTTTTGAAGGTCCACACCGCCTCAACTCATATTTGTATTCAAAATTTTATTTAAACATGTAAAATGTATATGTACGTGCGAAATGTGCATGGAGGTCGAATTTTATTCATGCTATTGCCTCAGTAAGTTAACTAAATATCGTTAAAGTTGCAATATGTAATTATTTTGATATTGAGATGTGTGCGCGGGTAGAGTAAAGACTAGAATCTAGATATTCGTACAAGCGGCTGACTTTACTGGACTGGTTAAATTATTTCTTGGCAAAGTCAGGCGTTGATATCTCCCTGGTAGCGGATAGACTGATTACCCTGGTAGCGGGTGAGCGCACGTCATGATCGACCGAGCTGACCAGTAAATAACAAAAAATATTTGATTCTCAACAAGTAAATTTATTAAAGGAAGAATAACAATTAATAGTGATCAAGAAATACTTAACAAATATTTAACTATTTAACAGTATCATAACTTCCTAAGCTGAAATTCGCAAATTTCACCAAAAAACAAAAAAAAAAACAAAAAATAAACAATAAAAAAACCAACAAAAAAAACCCCACACACACATACAAACAAAACCACAAAAAAATAATGTCAAACCGGTTTGAATTTCAAATGTTTTTATTCCATTCTTTACGAATACATGGAGGAACGCAAAAACGCGAAAAGGAAATTGTTTTTTCCCCACTTTAAATAATTATTTATATTTTCCTTAAACTTATTGCAAAATATGACCAAAATAGACTGTAACTGTTTGTAGAAAGAATTTGCAGGTTTTAAAACAATCTCAATATAAAAAAATGCCCTTTTGCCTTTTAAAAAATTGACTTGCAAACTTGTAACTTTTTCAACCCCTTATTCGAAAAATTAAAGTTAAAATACATGATTTACAAATGAAAATTTAAAGGGAATTTTTTAAGTTTCGAAAACAAATATATTAAAAAAGACTAGAGGAAGAAATAAACAACATAAAAACTTATTAAGTTGATAATAAATGTAGTTTAACAATTCATTTTTCATTTAGTTCTTGGTTTACCCAACTACTTTGGCAAAAACTCACAATTATAAACACGTATAATGTCTTCATTTCCACCAACAATAAGTCTACATCTTTCTCTGTCGAAACACATAGATTGTATTGAAATACCAAATGGCACGGCATTTACAGTTCCAAACTTTAATTTTCCATTATAATCTAGCTGATGAACATTGTTTGTTAAAGCTAATATAAGAACAATACCTTCACCAGCAATACACATGTCATGACAGCGATTACCGTCCAATTGTGAACTGAATATATGATTTCCTTTGGCATCCAGTGAAGTTAGTCCGTTATGTGTCCTGATGTAGAGTCGCTCACCGTTGTCACTAATAGCAATTGTGTATATATTGGACATGTGCAGCTCTTTAGGACAGATGATGTGCTTTTGTTTACAGTATTTGTCATATTTGTAAAGTGTGTCTGCACTGCTAACATAAAGTGTGCCATCGTGGTAAGCTAGACTGAAACATTCATGATCTAGCTTCACTAATTGAGTTAGTTTGATATGACCTGACACATTCACGTACTGTATGGAATTGCCTTTTAAACCAGCAACAGCTATATCGTTGCCTATATAACATACAGAATAGGGATGCACAATTACATCAGTGCAACTTATTACTTTGTACCAACTGTCCAGTTTCTTCAGCCTTTTATGCGTGAAATCAGCAAGGAGAACTTCACCATTAAGAAGCATGCACATACAAGAGATATTACACCCAAATGTATCCTTGCTGTCTCTCTTAAACAAAGTATTATCTATCCTAACGCTATAACTTCCTTTGCATTTTTTGATGGCTAGACGACGTTTCTGTTCAACAAGAGACAGTTCAGACATAAGTTGTTTTATTCCATGACAAGTTCTGTATAAATAGAAAAAAAAAATTGACACAATGTTCATTTATGATAATGAATTCAAAAATATATTGATATCGAAAAAAAAAACACTAGCCATACAATCATATAGCATTTAACATTGAAAGTTCTACGGTCCTTTACATTAGTTTTAATGTCATGACTTTAATTATAGACATTTAATAACACGACTCATATTTTAATATGACGTTCGTGTATATGTTATGTATATGTAAACTGTTTATACATTGTAATTGTGTATTTAAGCTGTGGCTTAATTAGAAGATCGGGAAACCGAATGTGAATCGTTAAATAAGACGTTATTTACTTACTTACAAACATCGGGTTAACTCCAATGTTCGTGAAGTGCTAGGCTGCCAACTTCACGAACATTTAACTCCAAATTATATTAATTATAGATAAATAGTTTTCGTTTAAATGTATTAATACTATTTGCATGTTTAAAAGGCATGTACGTTAAGTTTTGTACAAGACAATAACTATGGAAGGGAATATTCGCCAGTATATTTTAATATACCTTGTGACAATACGATGAAGTCTTCTAAAGATTTCAATTACTATTCGAATATCATTGTTGTCTCCTTATTTAGTAATTTATATCTAATAATTAAAATAGGTCGCTCATTGTTGTCGTTTACAGTGATTTCGCCCGCTTCATTGGCGTGCCTATGTAAGTATTAGTCCGATAGATCGGAAGTAAATCGGTTCATAATTATAATGTATCCGTCATTACTGGAAAGAATTAGTGCAATCTGTTCCATATTGAGAATGCATATATAACAAAGTTTATTAAACATTAAGACTGAGAAGCGTTTGTATACATGTACCCGAGATAAACAAACATTAACAGTACATATACTCAAGTATACTCAAGTTTGATAGAAAGAAAACGGTTATTGCAATTCTGTCCGACGAAAATGTAATCAAAGGGATGCAAGCTCTGTGGTATTTTCTGATATTTGCAATCTTAATCATACTGTGTATCTGTATGTATTTTCCTGTATATGGTTATTTTGATACACTATAATTAAATTTGCAACATGCATAGGAGAAAATCTTAATTATAATGAACCAATGGGATTTATCGGACTATGTTGGCAACGACTCTGTCTGTGAAATGTGAGCTATATCGATTTAAAAATTATACAATAAGATAATATATACTTGCATTTCTAACTGAAATAATGACTTCATTAGTAAATAAGATATTGCACATAACATATATAACATACAATTAAAAGGAAACAAACAAAATAACGAATGAGTAATATAAAATGAAATCTTGAATGGAGGCATTAAGGTTGTTTTCATAGTAGAATTAAAATTTGTTACAAGGCTCCCTAAAACTGTATGTTATTTGATATTAATAGTGATTTAAGCGAAATTTCGCGTTTATGTATTAAATTTGCGTTGTGGAAAAAATGCCCTCTTTGTCGCCTGAAAAACACATGTAAAAAGTAATGCTGTTCGGTACTGATTTGATTTTCGCTACACAATGTATTATACGGAGTACCATCGTATCACTTTCCTACTGAAAGTTTATAAATTGCTGTAAAGAAATATAATCAGATTGCTCTAAAATTTTGAAATATTCTTCACAATGTGAATGTTGTATCTGCAATTACCAAGACTGTTTTATTGGTAAAGCAGTGTGATCAAATAGTTTAATAATAACATTAAGTGGTAAAACGTAAATACGTCGTACATTGCCTTAGATTCTTGTTTGTAGCTTTAAGCAAGAGAATGTCACACCCAAGAAATGGTAAGAATTGGATATCTCAATATTTTCATCTCCTAAATAAAATATATCATTTCTTGTTTATCGAGCATCAAAAATTAATATTTAAGATTTGTTTTAGTTTACCTTTAGATGCCAATTATTACAGTAATAATTAAAATTGTTCATGCAAATTTGGAGATCGTCAGCGATGTTCGATAACAGGATAATGTCGTTTGCATAGAGAAAAACAAGAAGTGTAAGCCATAAAGTAAGATCGTCGTGATCCAACAGTTCCACTATTCTGTAAATAAGTTTGGAGGTCATTTAAGTTCATGGAAAATAGGACAGGAGACACATTTTTACCCTGTCTTACCCTTATTTCGGAAATGAACGACGCCGATACCGCTCAATTATGTAAAATAAGTGACAATCTATACTTTATCAAAAGCTTGAGAGAAATCTACAAAAGCACAGGAAAGTTTCAGGTTTTTTTCCGTTTAAGAGTTTTCAGTAAGAGCTAGAGTATAGTGTAAATAAGTGACCAGCGCAAGGGAACTAGCTTTATTTTCAAGTAGAACATTATTAATTTCGAGATATTTTGTTAATGGTAAACCTGTTGTTTAAGGTAGACCATGGGTAATGGGCACCATACGGAACTGTAAATTTGACAACATAGGACAGTTAAATGTCTTCAAGGTCACCTGTATGCAAAATTTAAATAAAATTAACCTTGTGGTTTATGAGTTATGGATATATTTCTGAACCTAAGACTTTGCCATTAGAAGAGCTTATTTTCAGAAATGAGGAAACTCTAAATTATCTGTAATATAAATCAATTATAATAAAAATGTTTTTCTATTGCATTCAAGGTAACAAATTACACAAGCAAAAATGTTTGTTTCTAAACAAAATGTTCTTAATATGTAAAAAAATGTTACCCTACCCCCCACCCACTTTAAACACCTAATTTTTTACCATTTCCCATCTAAAAATCCCTTATTCCAAATATCCCTAAAATTTACCACAATGAGGGACTGCTTTCAAAGATTGGTTAAATTTTCTTAATAGTATATTGGTTGATCATGCGAAATATAAAACACTTTTGCGATGATTTTTTTATTTAATTAAACTTTGAAAATATCTGGTATCATATGTGCTATTAAAGTTGGCATTATTTCGCAAATAATTACCTACAATAATTATACAGTTAAAATCTAACACTTTTTTCTTCCATGAGGGATCTGAGACATACATGAAAAATGGTAAAAAGAAAAAACAGAAAGCAAAAATGCGGTTCCCCTACTAGGGTTTGAACCCACACCCCTCAATTTCAATTTAGTTTACAAGTGATTCTAGCCTACTTGAATACTGTTCAAAGTGGAGGTAATGCATTACCCATGGTCTACCTTAACATTGATGTAAAATAATTAAGCGCAAAAACATTCCGACATGTATATAATATTTCACTACTCAACAGTGTAATACGCGCTGAAGTGTGGCCATAGAGGCACTCGGTAAAATAGCGCTTTGTTTATGTGGATTAAATTATCGGGTATTTAACTTATAAGACATTATGGTAAAAATTGATTATCGATCGTCGATTGCCCTAAATTCGTTCCTGTCCTAGCCTAGAGTCAACACCCTTAATTTATATTTCAGAAGGTCTAAGTAACAAATGTTCATTTAGGCGGCATAATAATCCGAAGATTCACGGAAATAGCCGAGCAATTTTCATTGATTAAAAATATTCATCGGCGTAATTTGTGATTGTGACTCTATAAGCCAAAGTTACTTTTAAGCTTTGAATGCATTATAATTCGCTGGATACTTGTAACATAATAAAATATTTCTTTCTTTTACATCGGTAGTTTTAAGCTGTTTTGTGTTTTAAGGTTTGTCGGGAAGCGCTATTCCAGAAATTGAATGTCTGCGATCAGAAAATACAAAAAGTATGTACGAAAAAAGCTTGCACCCTTACTTACATAAGATATATTTCCGGGTTTATTCATACATATTCTTTCAATTTTATATGTACAAGTATATACACGTACGCAAACGGCTTGTCAATTTCGTTTATAATCGTATGTACTTTTGTTGGGGGAAAACTAGTTCCACACTCAATTTCGATTTATTTCTGGTATGTATTCGTTTTTTAAGCGTGCAGAAATAAATTAGCGTTGAATTTGCCAAAAACTGGCGTCAAAAAATATGGCAGCTATTATAAACGAATGTATGAACAAATTGTTTGTACCTATAATTCTGTAAGTTTCGTGTTTATATATAAGCATATGTTCAAAAGGTCTGCACCCTTCACTGCTATTATTTGCCGGTTTGTTAAACTGTTTGTTGATATTGACAACTGTCTGTTTCTTACCGCATGGTTTTGACCTTTTCCTTTGTTCTTACTAACCCATTATACTCAGTACACTTCAATGAGCATTTCAAAACTGTATTGATATATAACAGTACAGTTTTTTCATTGATTCATATAGGAAAAAAACTCGACTGTTATATATCGGTCGAGTTTTTTTCGCACCTTGTATATATCAATGCATTTTTTTTCATAGAGGCTCCAATGGGGCAGTGGTTACGACCATTCCCAGTAGCAAAAAAAAAACAAGAGGGCCATGATGGCCCTAGATCGCTCACCTGACTTATCAAACTCATCCAAACAATTACCTAGACAAGCATTCTGACCAAGTCTCATGACAGGTGAGTCAAAAATGTGACCACTACAGTGTTAACAAGGATTATCCATATTTGAGCAGTGCGACCTAGTTTTTTACCCAGGTGACACATATTCAAACTTGACCTAGAAATCATCAAAACAAACTTTCAGACCAATTTCCAGGATACTTGGATCAAAACAGTAGCAACTAGAGTGTTAACAAGATTTTTCTATTTTTAGCTCCGGCGACCTAGTTTCACATGCGATTTCGAACTAACTCATCCAAGCAATTACCTAGACAAGCATCCTGACCAAGTTTGATGATAATTGAGTCGAAAATGTGACCACTAGAATGTTAACAAGGTTTTTCCATATTTGGGCGGTGTGACCTAGTTTTTTATCCAAGATGACCCATGTTGGATCTTGACTTAGAAATCATCAAAACAAACTTTTAGACCAATTAACAGAATATTTGGATCACAACAGTAGCCACTAGAGTGTTAACAAGATTTTTCTATTTTTAGCTCCTGTGACCTAGTTTTTCATCCGAGATGTCCCATGGTCGATTTATTCCCAGCAATGACCTAGACAAGTTTCCTGACAATTTAGTCAAAATTGTGACCACTAGAGTATTAACAAAGTTTTTCTATTTTAAGCTCCTGTGACCTAGTTTTTCATCCGAGATGACCCATGTTCGAACTCATCCGAGCTATCACCAAGACAAGCATCTTGATCAAGTTTGATGATGATTGATGCAAAAATGTGACTGCTAGAGTGTTAACAAGGTTTTTCTATTTTTAGCTCCTGTGACCTACTTTTTCATCCGAGATGACCCATGTTCGAACTCATCCGAGCTATCACCTAGACAAACATCTTGACAAAGTTTGATGATGACTGATGCAAAAATGTGACCACTAGAGTGTTAACAAGGTTTTTCAATTTATAGCTCCGGTGACCTACTTTTTCATCCGAGATGACCCATGTTCGAACTCATCCGAGCAATCACCTAGACAAGCATCTTGACCAAGTTTGATGATGATTGATGCAAAAATGTGACCGCTAGAGTGTTAACAAGTTTTTTCTATTTTTAGCTCCGGTGACCTACTTTTTCATTCGAGATGACCCATGTTTGAACTCATCCAAGCTATCAACTAGATAAGCATCCTGACCAAGTTTGATGATAATTGATGCAAAAATGTGACCGCTAGAGTGTTAACAATGTTTTTCTATTTATAGCTCCGGTGACCTAGTTTTTCATCCGAGATGACCCATATTCAAACTCATCCGAGCTATTATCTAAACAAGCATCCTGACAAAGTTTGATGATGATTGGGTCAAAAATGTGACCACTAGAGTGTTCACAAGGTTTTTCTATTTTTAGCTCCTGTGACCTAGTTTTTCATCCGAGATGACCCATGTTCGAACTCATCCAAGCAATTGACTAGACAAGCATTCTGACCAAGTTTGATGATGATTGATGCAAAAATGTGACCACTAGAGTGTTCACAAGGTTTTTCTATTTATAGCTCCTGTGACCTACTTTTTCAACCGAGATGACCCATGTTCTAACTCATCTGAGCTATCACCTAGACAAACATCCTGACCAAGTTTGATGATGATTGGGTCAAAAATGTGACATCTAGAGTGTTCACAAGGTTTTTCTATTTTTAGCTCTTGTGACCTAGTTTTGTATCCGACATGAGCCATGTTCGAACTCATCCGAGCTTTCAACTAGATAAGCATCCTGACCAAGTTTGATGATGATTGAGGCAAAAATGCGACCGCTAGAGTGTTCACAAGCAATTGTGGACGTACGACGGACGGACGGACGGACGACGGACATTCACCGATCCTAAAAGCTCACCCTGAGCAAGCTCAGGTGAGCTAAAAATGAAATCAATAAAATACATTTTGTAAAATAAAATAAATATATAAATACAATGAAAAATATAAACAAAGATAAAATGAAATTTACTCTCGTTTAATCAAAAGGTACATCCGCTGAATGAATTATTTCCACTGAAAAAAAAGCCCTTTAATCTTGAATCAATCTTGGTAACAGTATACAATCCGCCTCTAATATTGGATGTCTTTTGTATATTTTTTTTGCGGCAGCGAAAACAACTTGAAAAAACTGCCTTATCATAAATAACTGTAATGTAGCTAACGATTTATTTATTTATTTGTTTCTATTACAAAAAAGAAAACATTATGTCATTGCGATAAAACAGTTATAGTATATGAAACTCGTTAGTTACGGGGGTATAACACTGGCTGGGGCGACATCTCGGGATGTTTCTGCAAAAAAAATTGTCTCGGCCTAACGGCCTCGCCATTTTTTAGCAGAAACACCCCTTGATGTCGCCCCAGCCAGTGTTATATCCTCGTAACTAACTCGTTTCATGTACTATAACTATTACATAAAACGAATAAAGATAAAAGATTCCGGTTCAAATTTTATCATATAATCCTTTTCATATAAGAAAAGTGTCATATGAAAGACGATCTGGCGGATTAACTGTTTAATAAATAAAACAAACAATAAAATTCTGGAATTTGTCGATATGAAAATGTATTGTTTGTTTGTTTGTTTTGTTATACGGCGTAATGGTCAACACAATTTAGGTCATATTGCGCCAAAACAGAAACGGATAATTTTGGCTAACCTCGGATGTTACAAGCTTCAATGCAGCGCCCAGTTTTAAAACCACATCGCCTACTGAATAAAAAAAACTCCAGTGATTCGAAGCCATTTAGTCGCTCACTGTACCTGTATCTCAGTGTAGACCAAATGTGATAACGACCAATTGCTATAACAAGACTTATTTTTCTGCCAACACTCAAAAGCTAAGGTCTCACTTACATCCCGGCAGAGCCCCGGGAGACATCCGGGGTGATCCTGGAACGACCGGGGTACGACCGGGAACAACCGGGGTACATCCGTAACTCCGGATGGAATAAAATATTTAATATTACCGGGGTGGTCCGGGATGATCCGGGAAGTATAGCTTTGCCGGCTTCATCCTTAACTCCGCCGGGAACGACCGGGGTTACACCGGGGAAGCACCGTAGCTCTACCGGCACAAACTGGGGATGATCCGGGGTATAATATAGCCGGTAGAGCTAGGTAGAGCCCCGGTGAATGCTGGCAGAGCCCCGGTGAATGCCGGCAGGGCCCCAGAGGATTCCGGCAGAGCCCCGGAGGAAGACGATAGAGCTACGGTTGATCCCGGTAGAGCCGCGGCAAAAACCGGTTCATTTCAAAAGAATCACGACAATTTGCGATGATTGCTCTTGTTTGTATTAAAACCCTTCCTTCCCATTTCCCTTCTATCCAGTCTTGCATAAGGATTTGTTTCAGAAAATCATCATGAATTACTATTCTGGAACAATAGATATTATATTTAATAAGAATTATGTATCAATGTTATCATTTTCACTCGTTTTCAATCCATCGGGGTTCTACCGGGGCTCTGCCTGGATCGTTCTGGGCTCTGCCAGGGCTCTGCCTGGATCGACCGTGGCTCTGTCTGGGTCAACCGGGGCTCTTCCGGTGTCATCCGGGAACGACCGGGGAAGCACCGGTATGAACCGTAGCTTCACCTGGGCTCTGCCTTGAAAATCCGGAGCGCATCCTGGGTGGTTAGTTGGGAATTACCGTAGTGCTGCCGGGGATAGTGTGACTGCAACAATAATTTCACCCGGGAACTTACCGGGATGGTCCTGGGCTCTGCAGGTAGTAAGAGAGACCGCAGCTTAATGTGAGGAATAAAAGTGTCGGGTCAATAAAAGTATCAAATGAGTATTTTTGTCAAACAATATATTGTTCTAATTTGTTTACAAAATGTGCTGCCGGGGATAGTGTGACTGCAACAATAATTTCACCCGGGAACTTACCGGGATGGTCCTGGGCTCTGCAGGTAGTAAGTGAGACCGCAGCTTAATGTGAGGAATAAAAGTGTCGGGTCAATAAAAGTATCAAATGAGTATTTTTGTCAAACAATATATTGTTCTAATTTGTTTACAAATGTTTTAAGTGAAATCAAACTTAAATGTTTCTGACCGTCATTGTCGCACGCTTTGAATTAAAATGAGGAATAAAAGTGTCGGGTCAATTAATGTTGTTTTGTTGTATAAAAGAGATTTCACTATTGCTGACATTTTTGTTTTCATTAATCATATTTTACCAACAACCAAATAATTAGATTAATCTCAATTATAAATCTATTTCAGAGATACACAGATTCTTTATGGCAGCTGGAAATATTTCAAATAAGAGGTATCAAATGTTTATTTTTTACTTTTTAGTCAAACCATACTTTTTCTAAAACAAATTTTTAAGTAATTTAAGAGAAAGCAAATTTAATGATTCTGACAGATAAGTTGTCAGTCATTGTCGCACGATTTAAAAATGCGTTTGTTTAATTTGATAACTATTGTACCATATTAACCACTATAAATTACTGATTGTAAGAAATGTATAATTACCCATGTTTTGATTCCCTGCATGCTGTACATAAAAACGTGTCATGGTCAGGACAATAGAGAGTACATTGTGTATTTTGATGCTCGGCACAAGTCATAGTTCTGGTTACGTCAGTAAAATCTGAAGACAGTAGATTTACGCTTTCAAATATCTGTACATGTTTTTGTGTTTACAGAATAGAAAATATATATGGAGGCTTTTAGTTGCCAAAAATCCATTCTTTGAAACTTGACAATGCATACTTCTACTTAACAGATAAGTAAAAATATTATTGTCGATCCGAGAGTTACATACTGCACTGGATTATCTCGATTTGACAAAATGAAAGTTGGTAACATGTAACTTAGATAAATTGCAAACTGTATTTAGGAATGTATAACTTCAAATTGCGAAAAGTAGACGATGAAACGCACAGAACACATTATGACGTTGAGAGTGTAACTGCACCAGTTAACACTTTCAGGTTGACGACACCACACTTTCCATTTACATTCGAACGCGATTAACATTAATTTTGTAAACGATTTTAAAACTTTCATATATGGCAACATCACGGAAATAGACGAAGATTTAAAAGGCGGAGCCAATTTTCACGACAGCAGAATATAAAGAGAAATTAAATGAAACTGTTATATAATAATATGTCAATACATCAACCGCATTAAAGTTGCTTTGAATTTAAAACGTATTATTAGCACAGGATATTCAAGTACATGCAATACAAAAGTGCTTAAGATATAATGTAACAATGTGACGACGTTGGTAGCACGTCATGATACTGATAGTGAGTATAATAATATGCAAAAACTAAAGTTTGTCATTTAACATAAGGAAATGTTTCCCATATATAACGACACAAACCACTTTTAGAAGCTATAATTTGTTGAATTCGTATACAGAACTATTTGTTTCCATTTGCTTAATATTCATCAGTTTGTACTAGAATGCGACACATGAATTTTACTTTTGGCAAAATGAAAAAATAGAACTGAACCGTAAGCCTGTGCTTCATTTCCTTGAAGGACTATATTTAGTTGTAGAAAAACCCATATTTTTACTAAGTGTATAACAACGGAACTATGCAAAGCTTACTATTGATAATTCCATTGTATAACCAGAAACTTGTTATTTTGTCCCATTTTAATGATGAAATATATATTCAGTGTATTCTAGCTTTGAGTCATAGGATGTGATTTAGCCTTTTATTATGAAATAAATGTAAGCTGACGTTGGCGAACCCTTTTATATACATTTTATCAAATCAATCACAGCTCTAAAATCTGTGTATACATGCTGCCAATAGCTGTTACCTAGACTTGCTGTCTTTCTGATCAAAAGGTATACATAAATTAATAATCAGCATACTTACATTTCGACTTATTTAAATATTATAATTGAAAAAAAAATAGTGGAAATGGTACAATATATCTATACAGTATTGTAAAAATTTAAAGATATGTACGAATGGGTACATACAACTTTGGTTTTTATTTTACTATTGTTAAAAGATTTTTTCTTGACAAGTCATACGCTAGTATTAAGGTTATTAATGTAAAAGTAAATGCTACTATTAGGAAAAAACAACAGCCAGAATTTGGTCTGTATAAGTATTTGATCGAAGTAAAATCTCTATCAGATGCTGACTTGAAAATTTGAAAGTGGTAAGGTAGCAACTTAACTGTCGATGTGACTCAATAAATTTTCTATGCAAATTAGAATTACTTCAGTAAAATTTTTTTATCTTTAAAGAGAGCATGTTGAATATAGTCTTAACACTAATTTCAACTTCCTTGAAAAATATTTATCCTCAAAAAACCCCAATGAGACGGTTTCCTGGTGAGTTTTTCTAGTTTCTCTTTTTAGGAAATGGGGTATCTACAACGTTTCAAAACTAATAGGCCTATAATTATGTAAAGTTCGCTGATGTTGATTGAATAAGGGTATAGAATGGCAATCATGCAAGTGAATTATGTTTGGTGAATAACTGTCATAAAAGGCTCCATAATGTTTTAAGGTTAACGGAAACTACGCCGGTGCATGTTCTTGTTTCCTTGCTTCCTTGTGATCTCAGACCGCCTAAGGAGAACCAGTCGATGACGGTAAATACCGAAAATAAGCGGATTAATACGTACGATGATGTAGTGGGCGGAAAAATGGGCGGAGCTTATTGTATCACCTATTGCAAAACGTGTACAGCTGGATTATGCTGATTCGAATCATGATAGTTTGACAAAGTAAAGCTAAGAAAGTAACTTCTGTTTTTGTCGGCGTATACACGAAGAATGAGTATTTCGCATGTTATGATGAACACTTGGTATTGCTAATCTCAGAAAACCAGATAATGTTTTGTCTTATAACAAAACCTATTTTTTAAATACATGTTTACAATGTTAAATCGGCAAACTCAATCCAAGAATGCAACATCGGAGTTTACAAACAAAGAAATACAATTGTATTTTGTTTGTAAACAAACTGTTCAACTCAGAACAACAAGGCTAGATTTTTGGCAACGAATACCCTCCATTTATATCAACGTATTCAAAATTCCTTAGATATCTAAATGATATTGAGCAAAATTTTTTATCCCCCGGGCATATAGTAATTGAACCGTCCGTCTGTCCGTCCTTCCGTCTGTCCGTACGAGGTTAACCTAGAACGGCAAGTGGGATTTTTCTTAAGTTCTACCTGTACCAATGGCTTCTTAGTTTACACACTTACTAATCAATACAAAGTACATGATCTGGTCAAGTTACATAACTATGGCTTCCATATTTACCAAGTTATTGCCCTTTTCAGCACTTAGAAAATGAATAATGGTTAACCTAAAACGGCAAGTTTGAAATATCTTAAGTTCTATCTATACTAATAGCTTCATAATTTTCACACTTACTTATCAATACAAAGTACATGATATTGCCAAGTTATATAAATGTGTCGCCCATATTTCCCAGTAATTTCCATTTTTTCACTTTGAAAATAGGGCCTTGTCTGGTTAACCTATTCCGGCAAGTTGGATTTATCGTAAATTTCTCTTAATTGCTTAATTTATTTAATGATATCTTGCATATTAGGTAGGTGGATACCTTTAATGGTCCTCTGATTTTTTGTGGAGTAAGTGGTCTCTAGGGTCAAGGTCAAGGTCACTGGTTTAGAAAATAAAATTAAACATTTTTGCTCATACAGCCTTTATTTTTTGGTTGATGTCTTTCATGTTTAATGCAAACATGCCAAGGGAGGTCCTCCTTTTTTGGGTATAGTAAGGGGTCATTTTGGTCAAGGTCAATGTCACCAATGTCAAGGTCACCAATGTTAAAAATAGATTTTTACATTTTTACAGGTGTATTAACCATATTCGATAGACAGATGTCATTTATAATTGATAGGAACATAAAATTTGATGGAGTTAGTGGTCAGCTGGGTCAAGGTCACCAGTGCTAAAAATAGATTTTAACACTTTTGCTCATACAGCCTTTATTTATTGACAGATATATTTCATATTTGGTAGGAAGATAACTTGCATGGTATTCATCCTTTTGATTGGGGTAGGGATCAGTGGGTCAAGGTCACTTGTCCTAAAAATAGATTTTTACACTTTTTCCCATACAGGCTTTATTTATTGACAGGTGTATTTCATGTTTGATAGAAAGATAACTTGCATGGTATTAATTCTTCCTTTTGATTGAGTTAGGGATGAGTGTGTCAAGGTCACTAGTGCTAAACATAGATCTTTACACTTTTGCCCATACATCCTTTATTTATTGACAGATATATTTCATATTTGGTAGGAAGATAACTTGCATGTTATTCTTTCTTTGGATGGAGTTAGGGGTCAGTTGGGTCAAGGTCACAAGTGCTAAAATAGATTTTTACACTTTTGCCCATACAGCTTTTATTTATTGACAGATTTATTTCAGATTTGGTTGGAAGATAACTTGCATGGTATTCTTCCTTTGGATGGAGTTAGGGGTCAGTTTGGTCAAGGTCATCATGCTCAAAATAGATTTTAACATTTTTGCCCATACAGCCTTTATTTTTTGACAGGTGTATTTCATATTGGTAGGAAGATAACTTGCATGATATTCTATAGGTGTCAGTGGGTCAAGGGTGCCAAGTATAGATTTCTTACATTTATATATATTTGATAAAGTTGAATATTTATCACTTCACAAGTCAAAGCAATGACTTTGCAACTTATATATTTCACAATTACAAAATGCCACGACTCTGTCAAGCTATATAACTTGTGTTTACAATTTTTTGGCAATGTTTCTGCCCATAACTGAGTGAATGGGTAAACATTTTTTGAAACATTGCTACTGACAAGAATCGGAGCCGGGGGCATTTGTGTTTAACAAACACGTTCTTGTTTTTAATTTATTTTGATTTAATTAGTCAATAAATACTTTATATTTGCACTGATAACAAATGCACCGACTGGAGCAGAATACACTGTTAAATGTAAAATATATCAAATATCATTATTATCCATATTTAACTTACGCAGACGTTGTTTTGCTTTATCTATGCCATTTGATGAGCAACTGGCAATTATGTCATTCGATTCGATGTTATATTGCACTTGTAGCCATCGTCTAAGGTCAAACAGTTCTTGTTGAAATTCGTTACTGATGATGGACTTAAGAAAATCTTCCATGGCCTTCGAACTGGGGCAGTTGATAAGTATGTCTATTGACGATTGGTAAGTGGGAGAAATATCGACGATATGGCATTTCTTTATGGCCTTGATGAAATCTACGAAACGATAGACTGGTGTATCTGTTGAGCTTTCATAAAAAGGCGAACCAGTCATATCATCGTTATTTTTAATAAAGTCTCTCATTACTTTATAAACTCGTTGATTCCCTTCGGCATTTTTTTCACCATTTTTAGCAATAATATTTATCTTTAGATCAAGCAAGAAGTGCTCTGAAAAAACAACAAAAAAAAACATAATAGAGAATTAATGCACGGTTTAACGTATTATCAAAATATGCACGCTCAAATTGCATGTGTATCAGCGCCATTCTCAAATAAGTTACATTTCATTCCGCTATTTTTTGTTTCATATAAATGTAACACATGTCCGTCATGCTTTCCAGTGTATATCCGTTATACATGGCGCCTGAGTCATGTATATTAAACACAAAGTGCATGCTTGCTTAAAGCATGTTTCCGTCTTCGTTAATATATACCTACGTGCGCAATTTTAATGCAAGAACAACAAGGAAAGTTAGAGAATTAGTATTTTCAATATGAATTATTGATATATGTACATGTATTTCAAATATAGCTAGTTCAACTTACTTTAGTTACATTCTTATTTTAGTCCTCAAAAAAGTAAAAATGTATAAATATATAACAATAATGCTCTTAATCTCATTTCCTTTTATCTTCTTTTCAATGCTAACAAATATTTTTTGATAAGAGTTGTGAATTCACAGATTCTTACGTATTTTTTCATTAACTACCTTTAAGATTCTTTTGTTTTCCCGCGGATCTAAGATTTAGCATAAGCCAAAGCTCTTTTTCTTTATCTGTAAATAAAAACACAACTCGAGCAATTACATAAATTTAAGGAAATAATATGCAATTATGTTAAATATAATAGATGCGTGTCCCATTTTTAAGTAATTCGGCTTGTATTTGAATGTGAAGAATACATATTTAGACCAAATATTTTGCAAGATAATTTCGACAGTTCAACATTTGTGTGTTTGTTACTATAAAACAACAACAACAACATTTTTGTTTCTGTTCATAGTTGCCCGCCCACTTAAAATGTAAAAGTCTGCAAACTCTGGAATATTTTCTATTATAAATATAATTACTATAAATATTTATTGATTATTCTTTTACAAGCAATACTTTTTCTTAAGGAAATGTCTCTTGCATGACCTCATTTATATAAACTGTGTCAAATCCTCAAAAGCCTATGTTCTGAAATATGTCTATTCACCCATCATTTATATTTCAAAATCTGATTCTCTTTGTAGCTGCAATTTATTTTTTAAATTCTTCTTCTCTTTGTTGCTTTTTATACATTTTGTACGGGTATATTTGTATAACATATGTTATAAACCGTATGTCAGTTACGTATAATATTACTGTTTTTTCAAATACAACCGTTCCATTTTTAAAAGGAACCAATTAATGAATTTGTGCAAGTTAAGGGAATAAATGTAATTCTTTTCAAATTGATGCAGGATTTTTGAATTACACTTTTACATGTATCACGTTTGATTTCAAATGATGGTCTAATGACCTAGTTGAATTTTCGTATATGGATAAGTTCTTATTTGTTCAAATTAAAATTCAAGGACAAACCTTTTATCTGTTGCTCTATCAGTTGAAGTTTCTTTTCATGCTGAAAAAAAGTTAAAAGTGTGGCGTCTTATATATTATTCGAACCTTTCGCTTATCGTGCATACACATTACGAAAAGGAACTAAAATCTAATTATATCTTTTTTGGTAATATTTATTTAATTTCTTATTTTCTAAAACCCAATATAATACTTACAGAACACTGGAATAGTTCTGATACCACCGTCTAAATACTACATTTGATTACCTAAGTAGGTAAGAACTGACCATAAAGGATATTTACGTAATAACACTTTTATGTCATTCAAAGTTGTACTCTTTTCCATTACTAACGAATGTAATTTTAAAGAAATCTAAACGAGGCTGTATATATTCAAGCGTGCATGATGGTTAACAGAGGGACATGTAACTATGACGAGTAAAAAGGCATCTGTTTTAACATCTGTTTCTCAGTTATGATTCGTATACAATAAATAGACTAGAAACTTTAGAATCGCAGTATTTTTAAAATACCTTTTGAAATTATTATCCATTGTATTAGACTTGAAAATCAATATTGCCTTACTTTAATATTGCCTTACTCGGTCTTGAAAACATGTTATAACAATACTCAAATGCATAAGCTATTATAATAAAACTTGCCTGTTTTTGTGCTGTTTGGTATTTCTCTTCTAATATAGACATTCCATGCTCTCTCAGTTCTATCATCTCATGTTCAAGGTTAATCTCAATCTGATTTTGTTGCACCTGTAAAAGAAATTATGATAGGACTCCGGTCCGTAAACTCATTTGAAGAATTTGTCTTTTTCATATCACAACAAAAATGGCAGAATCCATATTATGCCCATTTTATTATCTTGAATGGAAGGACCTTTAGTATCACTTGAAATAAAAGGAAGTACTACAAGGGACGGTCAAATTGAACTTAAGTTTTTCCAGGTTATTTTGTTTTAAAACAAACTCCCGGATTATTTACATGTAAAAAGCTTTGTTGATCGTTTTTTACATTCTGTATTGTTATAATCGTGTTAATACTCAAACAATTGACTGTGTATATGTGTGAAAAGCCTAGAATTAACGAACTTACGTTTGCAAGATGATTCAGATTGATCCACTACAAAGGTACAACAGATAAAGTGATTGTACTCACTATTATAGTCAATAATGCCCTTACTATTATAGTCCATAAACGTATTTCACAATTATGCAAAAGGACCTGACGCATTATTTGAAATTATACATGTATTGCAAAATAAGTAGTTTAGAATTTAGAAATTGCTTAAGTATATTTTGCAACAAATATTACAAAATTGATCAATATATTCTTAATTGATACTACGATTGATTACATAAAGAACCAATACAATGTATCCCAATTCGGCTAATTTTGTCTTTATAATTACTCTAATAGGATAGTTACCATATCTAGTAAATGTAAGGCGTTTGCAACGCCTGGCTCCCCTTTCAGAGGTGTATTGCCACGTTTGTCCTTGATTTCTAGTACCTCTTTGAACAATTTGATAAACTTGTTTAGTTGATTTTCAGATAATTCATAGTTTGGACTGTGAAGAATATCATTCCGCGCTGCCCTTGCCTATTAAAGTAACACTTCAGTATTAAATTTAAAGTCTCATTCTTATTTGTCGCTAAAATTTTCACTTAATCAATTTTTAAAGCCAATTTGACAATTGCTGTTCTAGACTTGCACAAAATAGGCTAAATATCATGTATATGCAATGTTCAATTGAGATACAAACATCAATAGGTGATTACTGTTGTGAAAATGTTTACCTGTGCAAATGCATCTGTTTTCCCATCGATGATTACTTCTCCAAGCATCATTTCTATATCAATGTTGTTTATACACATACTAAGTAAACCAGAGCAGTCGATATCTGTGGCTGATTGTTTGCCTTTGTAGCCAGTAGTATTTATAAAGCATGTTGCAACACTCCATGGATCACTGCTCCATTTCTGGACATCCGTGTTCGTGAACAATGGATGTTGAAAGCGATGTTTACAAACTATTTTATCATAAACGTTTCCACAAAATCCCCCATTTGGACACATTTGTCTTGACTTTTTTTTCTGAATCTTAGTACATAAACATTGATTTTTTCCTTGCCGTGGGCATTGATCTTTTTTATGTGGAAGAAGACTTCCCTCTGTACAAGTGTTGCATGTATTTCCAAGAGTTTTCATTAGATCATCATGTTGTTTGGTAACAGCCTTGTCGGAAAAACCCTCTAAACCTATTTTCAAATATTTTAACGATAGAGCTCCTCTCATCCAATTTCTGTACAATTCGTGTGTTATCTGTTTTCTATGAATAAGGTCTGTTTCGCCTACAATAAATTTAAGACAAAAATTCACAAATGATCGGGCATCTGGAAATTTGGTATGAAAATAATAGCATTATTTGCTTTTTAGATTTACTAGTCTTGTCTAAAAATTATGTTGTGACAAAAGATTTTTTTTTTTATTATTTATTTTTTTCTCAGTGATCATACAGTAATACAGTGTACATAACATATAATAAACTTCTGTCCAGATAATACTAAAGCATGGTCACAAAGAGTTGTTTTTTTCACACCCAAACACAACGCACACACATCCGCACCCATACACCCACAATTCCAATTCATAGATACCAACAGGATTTATAACTATACATATTTCGAACATAACGCACACACAAAACAGCACACACAAAATAGCACACATACATTTCGGGTACCATCGGCAATACGATACTCGTATTAGTGTAACCTAATATTTAAACAAACAAAAAAGGGAAAGTAAAGGGGGTGAAAAATTAAATACAAAAGAACAAGAAAAAAAAAAACAGAAGATACATCTACAGTTTTTGACTGCTTCTAAACATAATTGTTTTTTATTCATGTAAGTAAGGTATTTTCATATGTTATTATATTCGTATCTGGGAAAATTCTATTCCATTTTTGAAAATGAGTTTCCAGTTTATCTCGATTAAATGCAATACATTTTTCAATACATAGTCTGCTCCGAAAATAATGTAAAAATAAGTTAAATTGTGGTGTGCGTTTTCCAATTTTGCAACTATATATGTAGTATTTTGCCACCAAAAGAATAAAGTTTTTTGCATCTTTTTGTGTATCTGTGCTTGTAATTAAGTGAGATATTGTTTTCAAATTAATTTCTATAATAATATTCCTTTTTTTTGAAATATTCTATTAAATCCCTCCAAAAGAGTTGCGTGTAAGAACATTGCCAAAAGAGGTGTTCAATAGATTCAATATCCATTGCACAAAAATCACAAAGACTCGAGGAAGAAATGTTTTGTTTTAGAAGACTTTTGTTTGTAGCAATTTTTCTGTGTAGATATTTATATTGAAAATTTCTAAACTTAGTGTCAATCGTTGTTGATAGAATGTTTTTGTATGTTTTTTCCCAACATACATTTTCGTTTTCAAATATATTTTCCCACTTATTTTCTGCAGTATTTTTGATAATGTTATCTCGTTTTAACTGATGTTCATATAGAAATTTCTGGTTTCATTTGTTTTAATAAACGACGCTAAAATACATCTATTTGGGGTATTGATATTGACGTTGTCTAGATTGATACCTGTAATGACGTCAGGATGTATATTTCTTATTAAAGTCTGATATTTGAGGTAGTCTGCATCAGGGATTTGATAAATTGTTTTAAAATTTTCAAAAGTGTAAAATTGATTAATTCTAAAGTCAAACAGATGTTCCAAATACACAATACCACTTTCATACCAAGACTTATAGAAGAAAGATTTTTCATTTGATGTTATTTTCATATTATTCCAAATTATTTGTTTATTTGGGTTGTTACATTTTGGTATGACTTTTATTTGGTTCCAGGATGAAATTATATCTCTTAAAAATGGATAACTTTTAAATTTGCTTTGTATAAATTTGTCATTTATTTCACATTCAAAAAGTAACTTGCCTCCGTATCTGTCTAATTGAGATACGTATATAGATTTTATTAAAGATGTCGAGTCATCATTTATAATTTTTTTCACCCAGGTCGCTTTTATTGATAATATATATTTTCTCAAATAAATCATTTTTATTCCCCCATTTTCATACTTTTTCTTCAATGTTTCCCTTTTTATCTTTTCTGGTTTATTATCCCAAATGAAATCAAACATACATTTTTCTAAAGTTTTTATAATTTTCAAGCTAGGTAAAGGTAATACAGATAAAGCATAGATCAGTTTTGGTAAAGCAAAAGATTTGATGACAGTAACTTTTCCAAGAAGTGTAAGTTTTCGGTGTTGCCATTGTTTTAAACAATTTTTAAAAGCATCAATTTTAGGTTCTAAATTCTTTTGGAGAGTTAAAGTAGAGTTTGTACAAAATGTCATACCTAAAGATTTTGCATTGTCAGAAGTCCATTGGAAATTTCGATTTCGGCAATATTTAGTTTCGGAGTTTCTTAATGAGCCTACTTTTAATACGTTACATTTCTTTTCATTTAATTTTAGGCCTGATATTTTATTGAAATCATCGAGTATTGCAATTAATGTTTCGAAAGATTCTTTTGACCCATCAGTTACAAAGGTTGCATCATCCGCAAATAACACATTTTTAATCTTGATTCCATTTATGTTTATGCCTTTTATTTTTTCATGTTTACATATACAGTTTGAAAGGAGTTCGATGCATACAATATATATATATATATACTATATATATATGGAGGAAGTGGACATCCTTGACGTACACCTCTATGTATTTTAAAGAAATCTGACATTATTGATAACACAGCTTTGTGGGTCATTGTATATGTTTGTATAAGTTTTATCCATTGGATTATTGTATTGCCAAAATTAAAAAATTCCAAAACTTGAAAAATAAAGTTATGGTTGATACTATCAAAGGCTTTTTCAAAGTCTGTAAAAAATAAAAGTGCATCTTGGTCCTTTTTTCCATTTGTTCTAATACTTCAAATATCGTCCGTATATTTTCTCCAATGTATCTATCTTTTAATGATTTCGGATTGATTTTGACTTATGATTAGAGGTAAAACTTTTTTCATTCTATTTGCTATAACTTTTGCTATTATTTTATAATCAATATTTAAAAGACTAATTGGACGCCAGTTTTCTAAGAAAAGAGTATCTTTGTTTGTTTTTGGTAACAGAGTGATGATACTTTGTTTCTGAAGTTCAGTCAAATTTTTAATTTCAAACGAATGTTTAATAGAGTTAATGTAGTAATATTTTATATCATTCCAAAAGATTTTATAAAATTCTGTTGTTAATCCATCTGATCCAGGACTTTTATTATTATTCATACTTTTTAGAGCTGTTGTAAATTCGAGTTCAGTAAGTTCGCTATCTAGAGATGTCCGTTCTATATCACTTACTTTTGGTATAGTTGGATCCATAAAATTAAATTTAGTTGTTTTTTGTTCAACCTCTTTATAAAGATTTTTATAGAAGCGCTTCTGCTCTTCTATTATTTCATTTTGTTTTGAGATTATTCGGCCACTAACTTCTATTTGAATCATAACCTTTTTTTCAGAGTTTCTTTTTTCTAAATTTGCAAACAATTTACTATTTTTCTCATTATATTCAACATTTAACGCTTTTGATCTTAATATTATTCCATTTATCTTCTTATCGTAGATTTCGTTTAACTCTTCTTTATTTTTTTCTATTTCTGACTTTATTTTATCAATATCATTGTTTAGGGAACAAGAACTGAATGTCTGTTCTAAGTTAATTAATTTTAAATTTATTTCTTTTTCCCTTTTTTCATCATCTTGTTTGGTTTTACTTGCAAACTTCATAGTTTCGTTTCTAATATTTCCTTTCATTATTTCCCACATTGTATTTGGATTTGCACCTGCATTTATCATAGCGGTTTCTTCAATAATTTTTCGTATAACGTTTTGGTATTCATGTATAAGTAGTAAACTGTTATTAATTTTAAAGTACCCTTTTCCTTTTGTATGAATATGTGTGTTCATTGATAGTGTAACTCTAGAGTGGTCCGATGTATATCCATTTTCAATTTTACATAGGCAAACATTATTTAAAAGATTTTCTGAAATTAAAAAAAAATCAAGTCTACAGAATATAGCAGGTTTGTCATGTGAATGCCATGTGAACTGACGTTTATGTGGGTTTTTAGTTCTCCAAATATCAAAAACGCTATATTTTTCAATTATGTCCTTAAGTTTTTGTCTGCATTTTTTGTGGCCATCTTTTCTACCATTCTTTTTGTCTATTTCTGTATCTAAAACAGTGTTTGATATCACCACCTATAATAATTTTTTTCTCTTCATGTTCCAAAATAAAATTTATCTAGCTGTTCAAAAATTGAGGTATCATCATTATTTGGTCCATAAATATTTATAACTATATATGTGTTCATTGTCTGTTCAAACTCAATTGCTATTAATCTACCACAAACTATTTCTGTATATGTTATGTTTTTGCAATCGAATTTGCTGTTAATTAAGAAGCATACGCCGGCACTATTGTTAGTATTTCCACTGAAAAAAGCCCGTCCATCCCAATCTGATGTCCATTTAAGATATTGTTTTGTGTTTAAATGCGTTTCTTGTAAAAGACATATGTCATAATTTTGTAAATTAAGCCAATTAAAAACTTGCTTCCTTTTCATATAATTTCCCAAACCTCTTACATTAAAAGTACAAATTTTCATACTCATTTCAATTCAATGTGAAGCTTACGTTCAAAAACAGTAGATGATCTTATATAAAAAAGTTTAAGAGACAAAAACATACAAAAAAGATTTACAAAAAGGACCTGATCGAAATAATTTTAACCAACTAACAATTAGTAGCAATATTACCCAAACTAAGATTACTTCCAAATGTGTTGATTTTACCTTGTATTTGAACTGTTGTTTTAGATGAGACATTACCAAACTCAACTATATATTCACCCTCGTCGTGTAATGTTACATTCGTGATCATCAATTTGTGTGTATTACCCTTGGCTAGTATAACCTTTCTAGCAGATGATTGTAGAAGTTTCCCTTTGTGTCGCCAAATAGGTTTACTCGTTAGCAGGTTCACCTTACATTCTATATCAATGTTTCCATTCTCAATAACCTCAATCTTGACAGGCAAATCAACGACCACACGCAATGCTTCATCTGTTTCAATATGATGGGATCATGATAATTTAACGTAGCATGATAAATTTTCCATTCCTTTGATCATTCGATATTAAATCTAATATTGCAATATATGAAAAAAATATACAAACATATAGTATTGAAATAAATTATACATTAAAATGATTTATTTATGAGGCAAAGGTGTTTTTCGTTCGCAATGATGTACTAAAAAACCAAAATATTGTTGTCAGAACAAAGTTTTCCTAGCAGAATTTTTCTGGTGAATGTTCAATATTTACGCTTTCTAATCCTTGTAACCAAAGTTACAATTATAATTTAGTTTTGGAATAGACTGTTCTAAACTATCGCCAATGTTATTTATCATATATTTACATTCCACTTAATCAATTGTCTTTTTGGTTATTGCTGTTCCGATTAATTACTGATTAGTAGCAAATTATAAAGTCAAGCTTAAGTTAAAGCCTTATCTAAATTTTAATTTTCATATACTTGTTTTATTTAACAGATAAAAAGCTTTTAAAGTTATAAATAATAAATGCCATGGTAAGGTTTGACTATCTCTTTGTCTGTTTCTAAGCATTGACCAAGAATACAAGTATTAATGCTATAATTCGATTGAAGCATACCTATAACAATAAGATCAGCGGATGTTGAAATATGGTCATATATACACGTATATTGACCCGTATCTTCCAATGATGCACGGGAAATCGCTATCCAATGGTTGTGATTCTTGCTCATGACCATAACATTATTTGAAATTTCAACCGGCTTGTTATCTTTCCTCCACTCAACATTTTCATCTGTTGGAATGTTGAGTTTACATGTCAAAATAGCTGAATCATTGATGTAGACACTTTTGTTCTGAAGTTCTTCAGTGAACACTTGGCCTGAAAAATATTGTTTTTTGTTTATAAGATTATAATTCAGCTATATAAAGTTATTGTTTATTATTACCTCTAGCACTTTTGGTAATGTTAATTTGCAATAGGCCGCTGGAGTTATTCATACTGTTCATGCAAGTGTATCACATTACCAAGAAATGTGTACTGTTATGTAAGTAAAAGTACTTTTAAAAATATCTTCCCGAGAAATATATTTTACCCGAGGCATAAGCCTCGGGTAACAATAGTTTTACGAGAGATGATTTCTAGATTAATCGTTCTATCCACGCCTGGTTCTGGTTCAGACAGGCAAACTTTTGTTTTCACTTGCACTTTTTATCCCCATGTGAATTCTACCAATTTTATCTCATACCCTTACAAAATTTGAATCAAGATTCGATATTTATTTATTTATTTATTATTTTTGTTCCGAATTTCAATTACGAATAAATTAGATATCGAATAGTAAATTACCAACTAAATGAAGTGACATCATAATTTATGTTGCAAATGACATCATCGATGTCCACGTCATATTATACATGTAAACATAACAAACAGGCTAGACGATTTTCTTTGAGAACTTGTAAATGTTTACTTTATTTCACCAGATTATTATTTAATAAGTGAACAAATTGTTTCGTTAAAAAATTAAAACGCATAGTAACACCGCAAAACGTCCGTACCACAAAACGTACTCGTGTGGACGTTTTGCGGGGCATATCGTACTTTGTACGTTTTGCGGCGAGAGTTGTCTATGCGAAGCATTTCGTCTATATTTTCTGTATTAAAATATATTCATTATAAATCTTACTTTTATTGGTTTTGTCACTTTCATATTGTTTCAGGTAAAGATATGACGAAATAAACATTAAAAGTGCAATATGTTTGTGATCCTATATAATTCTGACTATTTTATTTAAAAAAAAAAGAAATATACTTAAGCCGAGGATGTTTTTTGAATAGATTTTTTAATGGAATGGAATCAAGCAGCAGCAGCAGAGATATTAAAGCGATGATATTGAAATAAATGTAATCTTATAGACAGACAGAAAAGAACGACTATACGGACGGACGAACCGGAGATTGGACTGAGTGAATGACAAAAAATATTAAAAAAATTAGCTTTGCTTTTGATAATAGCTTTTCATATAATTGCATCAAGAAGTGGGAATGATTTTTTGTGTTCTTGTTGACTATGGAGGTTTGGTTCTACCGTTCATTTTTACGGGAGATGGATGGTGGCTTTTGACAGCGTAGTCAACTACAAATCTAGTAAATGTAAGTATGAAATTGTAATAAAATATAACTTTAAAAAATGATTTAATTTATAGGTTAGTCGGAAAGTCCGTCCCTTTACTAAAACCGTATTATTTTATCGCCTGAAGAACAAAACATTTCACCTATAAGTTACATAGATAATGTGTAATAGAGTATGTTATAACAAACATTCTTCTGCATAAGAAATGATGAAAAAGAAGTTAAATGTGTTCTATTGATAAAAACTAAAGCATATTTTAAAATATCGTAATGTAAGCGTTTTGTTTGAATGCCATAATGTAATTTTATAATTGAACCATGTAACTTTATAATTGAACAAAGCAAAAAGGTCATGTTGGCCTTATATCGCCCACCTGCCTATAAAGGCTCCACATGACAAGGGAAGATAGCATTGAATATTAAAAATAAAAAGCAAGTACATTTCATGTACTTGGTCAGAATCTGGGTAACTGATATCAGTATTATACGTCTGAAATGGTCATTAATATCCAAATATCTGTAAATGACAAAGATATGGTAATTTAAGCAAAATTCTATAGTGACCTTGAGGTCAAGGTCATTTCAAGGTCAATATTATAGTTGAACTATTCAAGATGTCCGTCCTGTCATAAATGAATGCATGACATCTGATCATTGATAACAAAGAAATGGCAGTTTAATCGCAATTCAATAATTTGACTTTAAAATATGTCTTTATTTTTATTATTCAAAGGCAAATAACTCTTGACATATTCTGTCGTTTTAGCTCATAAATGAACTTGATCGAGACCTTATTGTTATACATATTCTGTATAAAAATTTTAAGAATGGAGAAGAAACGAAAGTACTAACAAGGTGAAATATAGTGCGTTTATCGTTTTGTTGTTGTTTTTTTTTGGTTAGATTTAGCCTATAATCTAACTTTGTTGAGATTTTATGGTCATAGATATTCTGTTGAAAATTGTCAAGATTGAAGAAGAAATGAAAGCGTTGGAGTGGTAACAATGTGAAATATAACAGATATTGTAATTCAATGGTAGATAACTCTGGACATATTGCTTAGGGTATGTGGATACTAGAGTGGTAACAAGCTAAATTTGGACGGACAGACAGACAGGCGCATACTCAGGTAAGCTAAAATTAACACACAATAACACCTGATAATAACTGGTAAAAATTAACGAAAATTAGGACGTTATGCGGCAGGACCATGCCTTTTGCGCGCAAAATGTACGTCAAAAAAGTGTGGACGATATGCGCCGCAAAACGTCCATATACGTACGTTTTGCGGGACGGACGTTTTGCGGTGTTACAACGCATGTTTGTGTAGCTTGTGTTTGATTGCCGATTTGACTTTTCTTTGATTGAAATTTTCGTGAACTTTTGAATTTGACAATTCAAGGAAAAAGTGCAGTAAAGTTTATGTGATACTTAAGGATTTTTAAAGGTAAGAATCTTATCGTGTTACATTCTGTTGTATCTTTTATCACAGGACATAATCTCGATTCGAAAGAAAAAATGGCCGCCATTTACAAATTACAAGTTTCAGGGGCGGAGGAATTTGTTGTCAAGATGTCTTTGAACAAAAAATGCATCTTTCTACAAAATTCGCTATTTAAAATTTGATTATTTTGTAAGTTTGACTGTTTTATATGTTACATGATAAATAGAAAAACATACTACTGTCTTTTGATACAAATTTTATCAGGCTCGGCTGATATGGGCAGAAAAGGGTTCGGCAAGCCTCGCCCCTTTCTAGCCCATATCAGCCTCGCCTGATAAAATTGATATCAAAAGACAGTAACATGTTATTCTCTATGTATCAGCCGAATACAAATTTAGAATATACACACAAGCATGCTCTCTTAATTTGATATTCGATTCGGGCTAATATCTTAAACAATTATATTGCTACAGCCAAAGATAAACGCTAATTAAACTTTGGCATAAAGTAATGCATTTAGGAACAAGATAACCAATGAATACAATTTAAAAATATGGAAACAAAGTGATCACTCGGAAGCATTCATCACAACAAAATTATATGATTATTACAGACTCGGTTTAAATTCGTACTGTAACACAAAAACTTACCATTTGTCTTTAGATCGTTCTCTTCGCCAGTAATATCATTGTCTGTTACGATATCTACGTCAAATGCAATTTTAAGATGAGTTTTAAAATCACTTGTCCGTGTTAGTTCGCCTATCTGTGGTTCGCTTAATTGCAAGGCTTTTGTTTCAAATGAAACCATCATACGTTTACAATTATAACCAGAATTGCAGTCTATAAGCGTTATCAACTCCAGTAGTTGTTCCTGCAATAAATGCTGTTTCTCATTGTAGGTATTGTATGTAAGGGAGGCACTTCCTACGTAATTTTCAATATCTTTTCTCTGATCATATATACATTGAATAGCTTTAACTTCTTGATCAGTTAGACCTGATTTAAACAAAACTAATGTTACAGCACATAATTGAAGAGTGTCCCACGTATCAATGTCGTAATTGATATTCTCGTCTTGAAATAATTGTAGAAACTCTGTTTCGTACCAGTCTTTAAATGTATGTCTATTATCATTCAACACAATACTAATATTTTTTCCAAACTTTTCCTCTTCCCTTTTCAAAATGGCCTTTAATGCGATGGGCGAAGCTTGTTCCAATAACAATATATGCATCAGGTAGTGTTCATGCCCTCTAGTTACATCACTGCTCTGTAACGTTATTTGAAATAAATGTTTAGTGAATGAACTTGAAGTTTATGCTTTAAAGTGTGTGCTTCTTTTGACGCGTGATGATTTAGTTTAAGTCGATTTCCTTTCTTTTTCAGAAAATATATATAAAATGACAGAACTGATATATGGTTGTTATGATAATTTTGAAATTTGACCCGCTTTAATTCAAAGAATTTACTAGTATAAATATATGACAACAATTTTCATTACGATATATTATTATAATAGAATTAAAGATTAATATTTCATATAAGATGTAAGATACAATAGTGAACCATTTATACCTATGATACTCTATCTAATTTGAGAACTAGAAATATTGAATTTAAAGACAACCTTTCAACAGACAATAAACTTTACCGATGATATCTCCATTGTTACTTTCTTTATTGTTTGTTCGTCATGGTGTTCTTCGTTCTATTAATTGTCAGGCATACAGAAATTTAGTCTGTGTAGAAAGAAAATAAAACAATATAAGTATAAATACGTGCTTCATACAATATTTTATGATAAGAACCTAACAGATACTTTTGCGTACTAGTATTAAGATTTCACAGCAATATTTAATATCTGTACACATATATAGAGGTGATGAATCTTTTATTTATCTGGCCAAGAATAGGCATGTTGTTCTGTTTTCAAAAGATTTTGATACAAAGATTACTGAATCAGCAGAATACAATGTATAGGTCTGAAATTTTCAAAGACAAAGTAAAAACCTTAAATACCTACCTTACGAATGTTTTGTGTATTTTTTTAAATTCTTGTTTGTTAGTTTATCATCAACTTCACTCAATATATCATCAGCTTCGCTAAGTGAAGGATACGATATATGGTTTCCAAGATCGAGTAACGAAAAGTATTTAAAAAAAGGTGTTACCTTAATTATTCTTGTAAATTTTATCTTGGCCAAGCACAATGTTGAAAGATTGAGAAATTTATCCACTTTAAATTACATGTACTCTGATCTGGATTCTTAGCCGGTAATTTATAAATATCATAAATTATAATTTATTTATGTTATGATTTTCTGGTCCTTCTGGTCATTAATTTCAAACACGTTAAGTGTTGTAAAATGAGCTCGGCTTACGCTGATGCCTGGGGACATGAGGAATGTTGCACTGTTTCATTATCCGTCATGCACAGACACAATCAAATGTTGTTGATTCTTTAAAGGGATTACATGTTTTTAAGATTACTATACTTCAAAAACAGCAAGTGTCAAGTGCCATGTGGCAGCTGTAAGAACATGTCGTGTTCTTCACTTCAGGGATTGAAAGTGTTGCAATCTCTTTATAAACGATTAATATCTTTACAGAATATTTTGAGAAAATAACACAAAAACATCTTTAAGTATCATCTTTTAGAAATGGTATAGAATATAAAAGTGACAAAAATCAATGAACCAAAAAAATGTTGAAAGGATGCACAACTAGACAGGGTATTGATCATTCCCCTTAAGTTTTGATGACATTTGCTTCAGAAATCTTTAGTTTCTTAGGAGTAGTCCTGAAAAGCTTTTTTGTATATGGCAACACTAACAAATGAAGCACTTTTTATTAAAGGGCCATAACTCGGCCAAAAATCATTTAACAGGAAAACCCGTGCGATATGCATAAGGACTTGTCTAACAAATTAATCCTGTAAAGTTTCATTGAACTTCCATCAGTGGTATAGGAAAAGAAGTCTTGACAAACTTTAAAATTCGAAATTATTAAAGGGCCATAACTCGGACAAAAATAATTTAACTGACAAATCCATGCGATATGCGCAAGGACTTGAGATACAAATCAATCCTGTAAAGTTTCATTGACATTGCTTTAAGGGTATAAGAGAAGTAGTCTGGTCAAGCTTTAAAAATGGATAACAACATTAGATTTCATTCTCCAACATTTAATGTAGACTTGCGCTTATGCGTAAAACGTAAACTGAATAGTTTGAGTGTTGTATGATAGTTACATCATTTTTAAAAATTAACTAATCATTTTTGTAATTCACATAAAAAATACGGTCACAGGCTATAATTGTTTGTGACTTTAACTAATTAGCACTACCAATCTCAACTCTGAATTCATCAACATCTTGAGTTTGGTTTGTGCGTAGTTTATGTTAGTTGTATAACGTATATGCCGGTTACTTAGTAGAGTGACCACATAGAATATGATGGACCCGGTCAAGAATCTATAGAAAAATGACTCTCTTTTGTAAAGAACTGATTTTCTTTAAAAAAAAATGGCCCCTCCTTTAGAAACCTGTAGAATATTGACCCCTTCCATTTAATAGATCAACTTATGGAAACTGCTTTTGTTTGAAGCAACATAAGTCGTAAATTATCTTCGACTTAAGTATGACCTTGACCTTACAATTGACCTACGTCCTAAATGCACCTTTTACCAAGGCTGAATAACATTTAGATTTAGATTTACATTTTGTGCTCTTGTTGTTTTTATGGTTTGCTTGAGACTCTTCTTGAGATATAATGAATTAATATTAAGCACCGGTTTTAGCGGTACAAATGTATTCATTTTCAATAAGTAATGATATGCACTTATTGACATTAACCGACACTGTCTTTTTTACAAATGTTATTCATTACTCAGGTGATAATGATAAATACTCCACATTTGTTTTCAAATCAAATGGAGACAAGCTTACTCTTAATATTTTTCACTTTTGATATAAGATTTGTGTTAAATTACAAATAAAATATTCAATAGTATTTTTAGATGTTTTTGAATTTCAGGATAGCCAACTACACCATAAATGTATATGCTTGATGTTCCACATTTGAACAGTAATACTGTATATATATATGATATTCAGTGTATGAATAATTTGGTTATTCATACAAATTTTATAGCACAATGTATTATGTCATGAATTTAAAGGAAATAAGGATCAACAAAAATCAACAAGGCAAGGCGATATTCACAGAAAGCTGCCCCAGACATTATCAAGTGATACCAAAAGGGCACTCAGAAGCCACTGAACCTGTTAAAGACCTTCAACTGCACTAGCTGCCAGTCATATTATCAAATCTTATAGTAACGTCTAAAATTGATTCCCGTGAGATTTTCTGAAGAGAACGAAAATATTAGTGAGATTAAGTTAAATGTTTTGCCATTGCTATTCTCATCGTGCTCTTCATCTGAGGTTTACGAGAAGGCCACTTGCAATTCTTAGACTGGGCATCTTACACTTCGTATATATGAGTAGTAAAGTTTTGACTGTGGAGTCAACATTCTTTCAAAATAGAGAAACACTATCAACAAGGAAAGGCGATGTTCACGGAATACATTTTAGTCACACCAGCTGGACACCAAGAAGGCACCAAGCTAAAGGGCAGTGAAGGGAGGGATATTTAATACGTGAAATGATAACAACTTAAAATGGCCAATACGTATAGGCTATAGGTTATATACAGAGCTTTAAGAAATTAATTTTCGTACGAACGAAGTGAAGCGAAAAAATTAGTTTCTTAAATCTCTGTATATAACCTATTACCGACTTATAGTTAGCCCCGTCATTCAAATTGAGAAATTGAGTGCATTATGTAATTGGCGGAGTCCATTAAATCAGCTCATTTAACGTATAAATTTAATACATACAATTAAGTTACAGCACTGTATGGTAAATATTTCGGCATTTAAACAAAAAAAAGCGATTTCATTGGCAGAAAAACTTTGGCAAACTATGCAAGAGTGTATGTTGTAGTGCTAACTCCCTTGTGATCTAGAAATGACACCACACTGCCACATAACTACACATAACATTTAAGTAGCGCATAACATTTGATCCCTTTTAATGCCAGAAGTTTTATCATAAAAGCAAGGAAATTACTTTTATTTACTTTTATGGAGAAAGTTTAATAAAGTTAAGATAAAAGCAAAAGTTGTGTTGCGACTTCAAATGTTCATACACGTAGGTATTTGTAAAGCAGTTATATAATTGCTATGTCGCTATGAAAAGTGTATGCAAAATAAACAACTTTACTGTTAAAGAAATTGATAAAGGAACATCGACTACTTTTTTCTGAGTTGATTTTAAATTTTATTACTAATATAATATTTATTCAAATATGATATGGCTGCATGTGCAATATTGACTATGTTAACTCACTTTTTTGCTGCTGGTGATTATAATAATTTTTATCACGTAGACAATATTAATGTCAGAAACACTGCCATTTATTATGAAAGATATTAAAAAATCGGGTGTACCATTACTAATATATCAGTCAGTTTCTGTATGGATTTTGTTTTTAAGTTCTTGATTTAAACATGTGTCTGTGGATTCATTGTACAATGTATATGTATATTAAAAGATGACAGTCAATGGTTTTTAATCCTTCTGGCCAAATTCCCTGTCATTTCTCCATGAAAGAACGTTAAAATCCCAAAGTTTTAAACAAAACACCTTTTCCATCATCATAGCCATAAAACAGCTACTCCAAGTACGTGTTTAATGTTTAAAAATACGAGAAACGTTACAAAATAATGAGCGAGCATGCTCATTATATAAATAGGCGGAGTCCATTAAATCGGCTCATTTAACGTATAAATTTAATACATACAGTTGAGTTACAGCACTGTATGGAAAATACTTTAGCAAAATTTTAAAAAATAGAGCGATTTCATTGGCAGAGTAACTTTGGCGAACTGTAAGGGATTTAAAGGGACAAAGTGCGTAAGGTTAAGGAAAGGGGCAGGGCGCACAAGACGATAAGAGTGAGAATGGCAAAATAATACTTACGGTTCACGACAATTTAACATCATCACAAAACGTGCAAACATTCAAACACATGTAAGAACACACAAGACATACATTTTTTATAAAACAGTATGGAGGGTCAATAACATTAATTAATATTGACTTTTAGGTAATAATTCTTTGGTAAAAGTGAACCCTTTTCTGTAAAATACTGAATGTATAGAATAAAACATAAGCTAATGGGTCTAATCACACACAAAACTATTGGCTTAAACAATGTTTATCTTTATAATTGCAAAAATTGCTTATTGCTTATCAAAGGTGTTTTTACGTGATATCGTTGTCCATCCGTTTATCGGAAAAGAAGTCGGACGAAATTCAATGAATCCTGACACCGTTTTCAATACACTTGGAAATAAACTACCCGTTTTTAGGTATATATACTCCTGCTGAGAAATAATTACCCCGGAAATTCGAGTTAAGACTAAATTAACATCCACCTTATCTGAAAAATGTTTAATATTGACCCTAGTCGGATTTCGAGAGGAAAACATTCCCCCTTCATAGTAAAGAATGCCTTAGTTGAAATAGAGAGAAATAAGAATCCATAAAGAAAGCCCAACACGGCAAAATTGAAAATGTTGCAGGCTCGGTTTGATTGAGCCTGTTCATGGACGGCACTGTCAAGTGCAAACTACCGTCCACGCCTCCTAGCACCGGCTTAAGCAGAATTCAACATTTAACATGAACTGGTAAAATTTAGAATTTTGAAACATCTGCAGCTGTGCTCATATGGCGGTTATCATGGAACGCTCAATGTGACACGTTAGTGCCATTCCATGAAAAGCGGCATATGGCCCCTAAGTAAAAAAAGACATGTGCCCTAAACGAGAAAACAATGGGCGGAACTAAATAAAATGGAATTTTGAAAGGGGGTCTGATGTTATGAAGCCTGCATATCACAGATATGACGTCAAAAGAAGCATATTTATTGTATGCAGCTTATTTAAACCCCTCAAAAGTCCATTTCCTGTAACTTGCTTGTTCTGGTCAAATTTGAAGAACGTATTCGTGACCCCAGTAAGGCTCGAATTCATGATCCCTGACTTGAGCAACAGACTCATTTACATGTCTTTTATCGATTTCCTTGAAATTGACTTGAAACAATTTTAAAGTCTTTCTCTCTTGTGTAAAATTAAATCCTTATTTTTTAAGTTTCTATGCAAAGTATAATTTGTACCCATTATTTATGGGTTCCCATTCTCCGCGATGACGTTAGGTAGGTCATGGTATGTTAATCATGTTAATTGAAGGGGGTCATAATATCATTACCTGGGAGTCAATATTCTTTAAACAATCTTGGACGGGGGAATATGCAATTCTAAAAGTTTGAACCTGTACTTTCCTATAAAAAGGTTAACCAATACAATTGAATAATAAAAAGTATATTTTCATTTGAAAAATATCGTCCAAAACATTTTCGAAACAGAACTTTAAAGTTTAAACAATTCAAAACATATTTCTATCTACCTGACCTTTATTCCATATTCATGTATATTCAAGGACGAAGTTAGCGCATGCGTGAAATCTAATCAACACGGTAAGTCATATTTCGCGTACAACATGTGAAACATATGTAAGCCCTTCAGGATCGGATTTATGTTACGTTTCTTTACCTATCCTGGAAAAACAACTTGACGGGGGCCACGTGTTGGCGACACCAGAGTTGATGACCCTCGTTTAAAATGCAAGGACACAAGTCTAAATCAAATTGTTTCTAAACATAATGATCTTAAGAACCTGTAACTGTCCTGATCGGATTATGAACTTATTAGGAATACCCACAATTTAGACATAGAAAAAAGCTTTCTTGATTAAAAATACAAAAGAAATATTCGATTTGAAATGCTAAATACTTTACATTTCTTTACACTAAATTTGACATGACAGGTAATGTTGGTCCAGATATACAAAATATTCTACACAAATACATTTGAGACGATAACGTTTTTGTACCTCTTTGTTCAGTCATATAAGTATGGTTAAAATGGTAAATTAGAAACTGTCCGAAATGAAAGATTTAAAATAAAGAAGAATAAAAGGTTGTGGACAATTTAAATATTTATGAAATATCACGTCACTGCTTCTTTCAATTTCAATATAAAAGTCAAGTCTTTCATCATTGTTAATACAACTTAACAATGACCTAGGTTATGTTTGAAATACATGTAGAATGAAATGCACTGGAGTGCATTAGCTTCCTTCTATCTATTGAATTCTACGGAAATTGAAACACTTAAAACCAATTATACGAGTCAGTATACATTTTTAAAAATTCAATGACCTATCCTTTCCTGAAGACGATTTTATGAATACGAATTTCCGTATTTGACATTTAATATAAAACATATTTTTCTGTTTAAGTACTAGTTATAATAGCTTCAAAATGCATAACATTTATTTCAAGAAAAATGAGAAATGGTTTGTACTTTTTCTTATTTTGTGCGTTATGTTTTCAATATTTTATAACGTATTTGTTAAATAGTATTAAGCAAAGAAATATTTTTGTTTGTATTTCATAATCAGAAATTCTTCAGAATTCAGGAAAAAGACATACATCCAGTTCCTCGTCTATTGTGTGAAATAAAGATAGAATTTTACAAATTGTAGGCGGCGCTTACAATCCATGTTGATAACCAAGAAGAGGACAACATATGCAAAAAAAAACATCAATTACTTAGTTAGAAACGCAATTAATACTG